AAATGGCCTTCTCCCCCCACCCACCTTCCTGTGTTTCCAAATCACCGACTATTGTGAGAGATTTAAGGCACAAGAATCAAAGTCGCTAACAGGAAGAACATTAAAAATCCCCAAAAGTCAAGTATGACACTTGTGTAGATCAATCTCAAATCCTTCCTCCACAAAACACTCCATTCCATTCCTCCCATTTTCCTGACTCTATTCTCCTACAGCTGTTCCCACCCTTACTTCCTACAGATTTACTACAGACAAAAGAATAAGCCGTCAATACCGTGCACTATGAAACATTTTCCTAAATTCGGCGTGGCAGCATTAGTGAAGAAGAAAAAAAAAGTTAATGTTTCAGGTCCGGTGACCCTTCCTCAGAACAGGTCTGAGGAAGGATCACCGGACCCAAAATGTTAACTCTGTTTTTTTCTTTCACAGATGCTGCCAGGCCTGATGAGCTTTTTCAGCAACTTCTGTTTTTGTTCCTGATTTACAACGTCCGCGGTTCTTTCGGTTTTTATTTTCCTAAATCCATCTACCTTCCCCAACTTATCTCCCGTCCCTTCAACGGAGTCTCTGAATACATCCACTGTTGTCACTTCACCTCCCTATCATATTAGGTGCTCAGCGGTGAAGCCCCTCGGAAGGTCTTTTGCTCCCTTGCATGCCTATCTAGGGGAGATAGTTGCATAGTGGTAATGTCACTGGACTATTAAACCGGAACCTCAGGCTAATGTTCTGGGACATGTCTTCAAATACCACTATGGCATACAGTGAAATGTGGATTTCAACAAAATGCTAGAAGAGAGAGCTGGCCTAATGGCAAAGTACCTTAACTTGCATTTAAGTTGATGCCCCCTGTTAAAGTTAACGCCCAAGAAAATGGTGACCATGTAACCAGTGTGAATTGTTGCAAAAACCCATCTGTTTCACTAATGTCCTTCAGGAGAAAGAAATCGGCCATCTTTACCTGGTCTGGCCTACATGTAACTCCTGACCCATGGCAATGTGGTTGACTCTTAACTGCCCTCTGGGCAATTAGGGATGGGGAAAAAAATGTTGGAACAACCCGTGAACGCAAGTTTAAAAAAAAGTCTAAAATATAAACTGCTGAGCATCAAACGCATTCTATTAGATGGAATATGGTGACAGTGTTTGCAATTTCAGTTTTGTTTTGTCTGCACACTTAGC